GAGTCTCACTTTGTCACCCTCGGTAGAGTGCTGTGACGTCAGAGCTCACAGCAACCTCCACCTCTTGGGCTTAGGTGATTCTCTTGCCTCAGCTTCCTGAGTAGCTGGGATTACAGGCACCTGCTACCATGCCTGGCTATTTTCTTGTTGCAGTTTGGCAGGGGCCGGGTTTGAACCCACCACCCTTGGTATATGGGGCCGGCACCCTACCCACTGAGCCAAAGGCACTGCCCATCAATTGACCAATTATTTTAGCAGCCCTCTGGAGTACCCTTGACTTCTGCCTGTGTGACATCGTGGCAAGTGGTCTTGTTATCTCCTTAACTCAAACCCTGGGACTCAGCCTGCAATTTGATCACGTTTCAGACCATACGTGGAGCCTGGTGACTAAGTCACTTACTCATTTTGCACCGTGTATTACTTGCTTGTAGTCACTCATTGGTGGAGAAAAGAAAATCACCCAAATCTAGTTTAAGACTTACATAAAGTATCTTGTTTAAGGCATATATGAACATTTATAATTTAGAATTCCAATGTGCAAAGAGAGCTAAGTCCAAGGAGAATTCTTGCTTCTACCAGAGGAGGTTTCATTTTTTTCAGGGGTGAGTCTGGTTAGTTTTCGCTAGAGGTAGCAAAACAGAAAGGGGACTCTGACTCTAAACCCAAGTAGCCCGCCCTCTGCTGCCTGGCGGAGGAAGAGCCTGGTATGATCAGGATAGCTGAAGAAAGGATTTTGCTTTTGTTTTTAGTCCTTTTTTTTTCTAAATAGACTTTATTTTATTTATTTATTTTTGGCCACAGCTAGGTTTGAACCCACCACCTCCGGTATTTGGGGCTGGCACCCTACTCCTTGAGCCACAGGTTCTGCCCAATAGACTTTATTTTTTAGAGCACTTTTAAGACCACAGTTGTTTCTCCCTTCTAACTTCCTCTTTCCATCTTAACTGAGGATCAGAAGAGAGTTTTTATGTCCTGTGTTCCTGTTATGAAGATTTGATTTTTTTCTTCACATTACCATTTTCTGTGATTGTCAGTTACTACATGTTCTTATGCTGCAGCTAACATCTGAAAAATAGATACTGCAATCATCACTTACTCTTTACTCTTGTAAAATCCTGGACTGATCCAATGATCCCCTCTCCTCCATGGCCTAAAGTTGGTAGTGGTAAAGTTTTTTACAAACTTGAAAAATTTTTCAGGCTCCAACTCAGTGCTTCATGAAACAGCACTTAGACTGTCACTATTTGCTGTACAAGTGCTCAGTCTTATGTTTCCGTCGAATTCAGATCCTCTGAAATAGGTTTTGACCTGCATTTTGAAAAATAGGGCCCCAAAGATAATAAGCCTGTGGGAGTGGAGACCCCTAGTGACCACTCACACACTGATGCTGTAAGCTGGTGGAGGGAGTCAAATCTTAGTTTAAACCTCTTTTTGCTGAATATTCGTGGCAGTATAAAAATTAACAGGAAGGGAGACAGAAAGAAAAATGTGTCTGGAAAAGTTAGGACAACAAAACAGACAAATTACCAAGGAAGTGCCAGCCTTTCAGGTTAAGCACAGTGGCTCATGCCTGTAATCCTAGCACTCTGGGAGGTGGAAGTGGGTGAATTGCTTGAACTCAGAGTTTGAGACAAGCCTAAACAAAAGTGAGACCCAATCTCTACTAAAAATAGAAAAAACTAGCCCAGAATGGTGGTCACAACTACTCAGGAGGCTGAGGCAAGGGGAGCACTTAAGCCTGAGTCTGAGGTTGCTGTGAGCTATGACACCATCGCACTCTATCGGAGGGCAGCAGAGTGAGACTCTATGTCAAAAATAAATAAATAAAGTGCCAACCTTTCAATGAACTAAAAGGCACATTCCTTATTGCACATCACCAATTTAGGCTGTCTTGGACTCTTAGTATTTTAGTAAAATATTGGGATTATGCCTGAATGCACCAAATTAGCTGTGTTGCTACTTTTGAAGTCTAGAACATAATTGTCTATACATGATCTTACTTTTGAATATTTGTGATTATTAATTTGCACTTTTTTTTTTTCGAGACAGAGCCTCAAGCTGTCACCCTGGGCAGAGTGCTGTGGCATCACAGCTCACAGCAACCTCCAACTCCTGGGCTCAAGTGAGTCTCCTGCCTCCGCCTCCCAAGTAGCTGGGACCATAGGCACCCTCCACAACGCCCAGCTATTTTTTGGTTGCAGCCATCATTGTTTAGCGGGCCTGAGCTGGATTTGAACCCTCCACCTTAGGTCTATGTGGCTGGTGCCTTAGCCACTTGAGCCATAGGCGCTGAGCCGTAATTTACACATTTTAAGAACTCATCACATTTTGTCAATTTATTCTCAGAAATGCAGAAAATACAGGGTGGCTGTCTTCACAGGATGTGCAACTGAACTACTGAGTCTCTGGGCATATTATGAGGGAAACGTTTGGAATGTTGTCTGTCTGAACAGTAAGGAATGTTAGAACAGTGGCTGTAATGACACTCTCGCCCTCCACACCTGGAGGGGGCCTTTCAGAATATAAACCAAGTCCTTCATCTTGCAGACGAAACTGAGGTATAGAGAGGGGCATCCCACCCAAGAAAATGAAAACATGGACTTGGAGTCCATTTGGGGGTTTAGCCCAGAACTGTTCCCTTGTGAGGTGTAGGCTGGCTCTTCACCTCAGAATGCTGTAGCCAAAGCAGACGTGGGAAAAAGTTCTGTGGATTCACCAACTTGTGTCAAGTCCACTGTTGTCAGCACTGCTCAAGCAGGTTTTTTTTTTTTTTTTGAGAGACTCACTTTGTTGCCCTCAGTAGAGTGCTGAGGTGTCACAGCTCACAGCAACCTCTAACTCTTGGGCTCAAGCAATTCTCTTACCTCAGCCTCCCAAGTAGCTGGCAGTATAGGTGCCCACCACAACGCCCAGTTATTTTTAGCGATGGGGTCTTGCTCTGGCTCAGGTTGGTCTCAAACCTGTGAACTCAGGAAATCCACCTGCCTGGGCCTCCCAGTGCGCTGGGATTACAGGCATGAGCCACCACTCCTGGCCAGTTTTTAATTTTTAGTAGAAACGGTTTTTATTTTGAGACAGAGTCTCACTTTGTTGCCCTTGGTAGAGTGCCGTGGCATCACAGCTAATAGCAACCCCAAACTCTTAGGCTTACGTGATTCTCTTGCCTCAGCCTCCCAAGTAGCTGGGACTATAGGCACCTGCCACAATGCCCGGCTATTTTTTGTAGTTGTCATTGTTGTTTGGCAGGCCCGGGCTGGGTCTGAACCCACCAGCCCCGGTGTATGTGTCCAGCGCCCTAGCCACTGAGCTACAAGACTATGCCATATTTGTAAAGGAATCTGGTACATGGGGTACTCAAATGTCATTACTTTCCCATTTGCTAAAAAAATGAATTCCTGTTAATTGAGGAATATCTTCAGTATGTTCTTGAATATACAGTAGAACCTCCATAGTTGATTACCTCCTTAAGTTGACCTAAATTTCGTAGACTGGATGTGCACCACACATACCTATTGGTACAGTAGGCCTAGCTCCTTATGTGGACCACTTCTGAATGTGACCAGTTTGTTAGAGTCCCTTGGGTGGTCAACTTACAGAAGCTCTACTGTATCCGATTTTGACTGGCCCTTAAATGCCTGTAAACTTAGAAAATGATATAAATATTACTCAAACCTGGGAGGACTTAGATTTCAAGAGACTAAAAAGGAATAACCGGTAGTTTTTTTTTTTTTTTTCCTCATTTAAGTGATGGTCTCATTTAAGACCCATACAGTCTTGGCTACATCACTTCTCTCAGTTTAAATTGTAAAAGGAGGCTGGGCACCCACAGCACAGTGGTTAGGGCACTGGCCACATGCTCTGGGGCTGATGGGTTCAAACCCGGCCCAGGCCTGCTAAACAAAATAAATAAATAAGTTGTAAAAGGACTTAAGTTAGCTAGATCATGTTTTCCCATACTCTGTGTCCCCTAGCTACAGCAAGAAATTCATTTTCTGTCATGATCTAATAGTACACATACATTTACATCTAAAACAAATTTCAAGAAACAATACCTACACTTAACTTGTACAATGCCCTCTGATGTTTGCTGTTATAACTTTATCTTATTAAAATATTGATTGCAGGCTAGGCATGGTGGCTTGCAACTGTAATACTACCACTTGGGAGAGCGAGGTGGGTGGATTGCCTAAGCTCATGGACTCGAGACTAGCCTAAGCCAAAGTGAGACACCGTCTTTAAAAATAGCCGGGCATGTGGCAAGTGCCTGTGTCCCAGCTACTTGGGAGGCTGAGGCAAGATAATCGCCTAAGCCCAAGAGTTTGAGGTTGCTATGAGCTATGACATCACAGCACTCTACTGAGGGCGACAAAAAGACTGTTTCAAAAAAAAAAAAAATTTGATTGCAACTAAAAGACCCCATAATCTTGGGTGGTGCCTGTAGCTCAAAGGAGTAGAGCACTGGCTCCATATGCCAGAGGTGGCGGGTTCAAACTCAGCCCCGGCCAAAAACTGCAAAAATAAAAAAAGTCTTAAAAACAGTACTGAAAAAGTTTTTCCTGGTACTTTATTAACCTGGAAGAAATAGAAAACGTCAGCTATTTTCTGCGGGCTGTTCTGTTGTGTTCACACAGCTCCTGCTTATCCTGTGCCCTTCAATGAGTCAGAAACCTTGGGGTGATTCTATTCTTATGATTTGAAATACATCAGGGCAGATAACCAGTCTCCCAGCAAAACCAAAAAGCACCCAGCTAAAAACTTTGTTTGTACAGATGCAAAGCCATGGAAATTTGGATGGCTAGGTCTGCATTTCAAAGTTTGTTTTAATTACACACCCAACCACATGCATAAAACCCCCACAAAATGAGTAGAGAAAATGTCATCTTTTCTATTTTTAGGCCGAAAGAGGCAGCTCATGAAAGCAAGGCTGCCATAAATTTTCACACTCAAGGATAAAACAATTTATAACTAGGAAAAATACTAGCACCATACACACGCCCAAATCTAACAGTGGTAAACAGTTTTTATTCAAGCAATGAAACATGGAAAAAATATATTAGTAATCATTATAATAATCTGTGTGAGTATAACTTTTACAAATATTTACTTGACATATAAAAAGGGAAATTACTGTGCATATAAAATTTATGTAGATGATTACTCCACACGACACTCTCCTGACAGCAGTAGTCAGCGCAGCGCCCGTCTCGCCGACGGAGGCTCCTCACCTCACGTGCTTCATGGCACCCGTGGGGCCACGGTGGGAGCAGATGTGCAACAGACAGTGACTTACTGGCACATTAGCATAATGGGGATCTATTGGCAAACACACTTGCTAACAGTAACACTGAAAAGTTCACTGCTACCTCTGAGATATAAAGAAATGCCTGGATCCTATCCTGACGCCTGAGAAGGGCTGGGGCAGAGGCTGAGGCGTGGGGACCTACACGCTGCCCTGTATCTGAACTGGGTTCAAAGTTTTTACATATCCGTTGGAAAATTCTTCATAAACATAGAATATCAGATAATGATGTGAGTAGGAAATGCTCTTTTGGAGAACATTTCAGAAGCCAGTGAAAGGCAGAAGGGGAGAGAGAGGCATCTTGACGGTTCTAAAGTAAAGGACAGATACAGGGGAGGTTCAGGCCACACCTCAGCGCTGAGCCTGATCTCCACACGTTAAAGCATTATACAGATTGCCACAGGCCAGCATTGCACACATTGTCTCCATATTAGAACTATAACCAGAATATATATTTATATAATAGCTGTAACCATATTATAGTTAATAAAGTCATTCCTTAGGAATCTGGTTTGTCCAAATCTAACTGCATGCTAAGAGGCACAGAAATGGGATTGCATTTGGATGAAAAACTATGAAAAGTGCAATCTTTAGTCTCCAGAATGCAAGCTCTGGCACTAGGAAGTAGGTCTTCACTGGAGAATGAGCCAGTACATTATCTTCCAGAGGAGATCCTTAGAAAGAAGAGTCGATTTCTTTGCCTTTACTATATGGGAGACTCAAGGACTTAACTGGCAAATTGCTTTTTAAAAGTAACTAGAATCTAGAGGTCAGTCAAATCTTTTTGGATAGATGTCTCCTCAAAATACTTCTTTATCAAAATATTTGAAGATGACGACTTCTTAGACCTTTGGCTTGACACTCTGGGATTCCCAGACTATATTTGTTCTTTAATAATAATCTGTTATGTTTTAAATTCTTTAGAATATATACATCTTTACTTTAAATCCCTTTTGTGAATCATTTAATCGTTCAACACCTCATTTCTCTCTTCCCAAGAGAATAAAATTAGAAACGTGGGCTGAGGGCAGGCTCATACAATCCCACGACTACCCAGAGACAAGAGTCACAGACAATTCACAAGACGGCTATGAATTACAATAAAAAACCAGAAAGAAATGTAAAGGGGGCTTTAGAAATTGTACTCCCCTGAAAATGGATGTGTTGAATCACTTCCAACTCATGTACACAAGAGTTACCATGCTGGCTCTTAAAACACCCCCTTTTTGAGCTTTGAAGCCTCCAATGAGCCCTTTGTTACCTTTACTGAAGAGCGTGTTTCAGTCCGGCCTCTGCAGTGAGCCCAGCACATGTGGGGCTGTGATTCTCCCCATTTATAACTAGAACTAATTCAAGCTCTAATAAATATCTACCTACTTGTGTAGAGTTATACAAAGTATGGGATGGGAGAAAGGGTAACTGGCTGGAAAGAAAATTCAATGTGAGCTTTCCTCCAAAATGAAACAAATTTTCCTTAGATTCCAGACCTTATGGAAGGCTGCCAAACCTCAGTTTTCACCACCATGTGCTTCTGCACTTCTAATTTGGGCTGACTCTGAAGAAGCTAGAAACCATGTGAGAAAACGGGGCTTCTCAATGTTTCCAGAACAGTTTTACAGAACAAAAGGTTTGGGTAGGTCATCAGCTTCAAGGGGCTTCTCCAAATAAAATAAATCTCAGGAGCTCTGACTGTAACTGACAGTCTAGCCTACCAAATGGCAAATGTCTGTCTTCCGTCAAATTCTCCAAATGAAGCACTGTTAGACAAAGGCTCTACACTTTGGCAAAGTCAAAAGCTAGAGAGATGGCTCTGTATCCAGAGTCTCAAAACAAACGGAAAAACAAACAAACAAACACCTAGTATTCCCAAACACTCCCTTGGCCAACAGCCTCCTCCTGTTCCCTTTGTCATTTTTGTAACAAGAGGTGTCATTGCTTAACCAGTTATTTGGCCACCACATGTGTTAAAGCAAACTCTCTATACTGTATTCTTATTCTCCAGAGTTCTAAAAAGCTTTTTTAATTTTTAAAGAAAAACACATTTCATTCTGCCGATACTCTTGATTTTCTAGCTGTAAAAGCTATATTTTTATCCTTACTGGAGGATATCCATTTATTAAATTAGAATGGACACTTACTTCCTTATAATCCTCATGGCTGAGAAGCTAGTGACCAATATAAGTGAAGAAGGGACTTTTGGGATTCCTTGTGTTTCAGCTTCATTCAGCAGAGTCTCATTTTTAAGTGGTCTCTTCTACCAGTATGCTGGGGAAAGACAGTCACCTATGTTTTAACATATAGCGACTTTCTTTATACAAAGTAAGCTTAAAAAGATGACTCAGAATTTATAGTGGAGACCACTCTATGCCTTTCATACTTAAAACAGATCAATATAAAATAAGTAAACATGGATATGTCATAAAAACACAGCAGCAAAAAAGGATTAGCAATCAAGGTTTCTTTCTGCAAAATGCAAGATTAATCTCCTTAGTAGTGGAGGACTTAGAAATCAGCTACACCAGCAAGAGACACGTGTTGTTGATACTACGACTGTCAGTACAGCATTCATATTAATCCACAGTGACTATTTTCAAAGCCCAAATGATTGTCAAGCCACTTTTCAAACCACAGATAATTTCTATTGTTCTTCTTTGTACAAAATATTAAGACAATAGGTTTTAAAATACAGCCTAAGCACCAATTATGATAAATGCATATTGGTAAAATGTGACTTCTGGCTTTAAAAGACATTATTGACCTCCCTGGGGCTAAAGATTACACCCATGTGACTAATACACTGTAATGAAAAATTCATTTGTTAAAATTTATAGAAGTTCTCCACTAGGCACAGTTCACTGCTGAAGTTGTATCATGCAACAGTTTTACAAGAAAAGTAGGAAAACACTCCTGTACTGAATACAGTGCATGTCCCCATGAAGACCTCCAGGTGTAAGAGCAAGACAAGAGCGCTTTACAACACTGGCATGGTTGGGTTTTGCCTATCAAATGGAAGGGAATTCACTAGGGTTACAGGGAAAATTTTCATTTTGGGGTTAATGTTCCACCACTCTAAACTGAGTGAGGTAAGAGCTTGAGGGATCTGGTTTTGTTAGCAAAAGCCTCTTCCCTTCACTCCCCTCCCCAGTATTCAAATTGTTTTAAATACTCAAAATGAACTGATTTTTGGAGTAGTTCACATGATTTTTTTTACTGCCTGTTTTGTTAAAAATTCTATCTTAATTTGGAAAGGTTTTTTCGCTTTTAAAAACATCTGAAGAACAATGTATCACACTTATTAACAGAACAACTGTTTCTTTACCTTAAAATTGGTAATGGGGCTACAGTTACCTTTTAATTAAGATGATCTAAACCTTTCACAAGTAAGATAATAAAAATTAAATGTTGATTTCATATCAACAAATGGAAGCAGAGGAGGCTAAGTGACTCTCAGTGCTGAGGGAGTCCCGTATTGCTGTTCACACAGAAGGGAGACACCACTGCTCTCGGTCTGAGGACTGACCAGAGGACAGCTGCACCCAGGAGAGCTGAGGAGTGTCCCAACTCCAGAGCAATAAACCTCATGGCAAAAAGTCTGCCCCAGCTGTGAAAGCCTGAGGCTGTGGCCGTCACATCCTCACTCCCCCAAATTCTTAAGTTGGAAATACTGTCTACTATAGCAAAGTTCTTATCTGACTACGCTTCAGGGGAAAGGCAGCAGCAAATCGACACGACGAAGTGAGGGAGTGTGCAAAAGGACACGCAGAGCTCATTTTTTGTTTATCAAGGGGGAAGCTAAAAATAGGCCAAATGATCTCCTTAAATAAAACCACTGATACTGAAAATTAGAAGATTAAACCAATGGGTCACAAAATGAATCACACAGGTGGTAGAAAGGAGATGATCCCAACAGTAGCCACGGAACCATAAATTTAACGTCCTGGGAAAAGTAAAGGTGACTTTAAAACAAACTGAAGGTAGAGAAACCACAAATCCAAACTCGGCAGCCAGTCTAACTGGAGCTGCGGACAGGGCACGGGAGAGGCCAGCCCAGCCAGGCCATGCCCCGTGGGACCGGCAGCACTCAGGTCTCTCCCAGGGCTGTCTCAGCGGCAGCAAAGCGGGACAGGCAGCAGGAGGCATGTGCTTTTCTTAGTTTTTTTTTTTTCTCTGCAAAGGGGCAATTATTATTGGATAAGGCAAGATAATCGAGAGAAGCAGCCGAATGCATCTGTTGAGCTAACAGGGGAATCTCAGTCAGTCTTTCCCAGCTTGGCAATCAGCTCATCACAGATTTTTGTCAGTTCTTCGATTTCTTGGTTCTGAAAGACAAATGATATGATTGTGCAGGCTACTTTGTATTCCCAGATAAAGGCAACAGTAGCTAAACAGTCCGAAGACTGAATTTACACTGCCTAGACATTCTGATTCAGTGATTTTTAACTTTTCTGTGTTAAGAAGGATTATCGTCTCCTCTGGAAAGTGTTTTTGTATGCACAAAATTATACTTAAATTGAGTATATGGTAAGGACAGGTGCCAGTCCTCAGGAGCTTGTGCATGAACATCTTAGTTCCCAAATTCTCTTTTATCATAAGAATTACCCGGAGTATTTGTTAAAAACACCAGTATCTGGGATACACTTGATCCATCAGCATCTCTGGAGTCTGAGTATCTCAGGAACACTCATGACAAAACTACTCTTGCTGAATGAACCTCACAGGCGTGAGGAGCTAATTAGGGACATTAATAAGAAGAACACTGGAGACATAAAAAAGCTACGAATTGCTTAGTGACAAGTTGGGGTTATTGCTACCACTGATTTTCACTACGTACAGCAGTTTCATAGTTGCAGCCCCATAATATTTGGGGGTAGGTATGTCTTTGTTGGGAATTAGGTGTCCTGTACATTGCAGGATTTTTAATGACACCTTGGCTTTTCCCCATTAGATGCTATGGCATTTTCCAGTGTAACAACCAAAGAAATACATCTTGAGACATGGCCTAGTGTCCCATGTAGGGCTTTAACTACCCCTAACTGAGAACCCCTGGCCAAAGGCAATGAAGGAGGAAGATGGATTCATATTCTGCACGAAGAAGAAAAAGAAAAGGCAGTTTCATGACCCCAACCAAGAAGTGTGTGATCTTCTGAACTTCAGTTACAACTGCAAATGCCTCCCTGCGCCCCCTTGGGAATGATCCCCACATGGAATAGTGCGCCTGAAAGTTTAATGGTTTGACTTGTCTCCAGCTGAGTCAGTTCACAACACAGCTGGAGTCAAGGGTGCATAAAAAGGCAGGGCCCCTTTCATCAGGTCATAAGCTGAGTACGACAAAGACCAAAGCCAGTCACTGCTGAGGGGAGGAACCAAGCGGCTCTGTGGCCGTGCAGACCAAAGCCCTTTCTGTACCTTCTGCTGAAGGGCCCTTTCCAGGGACTCCACCTTCATCTGCTCTTTCCGGAGGCCAGCGTGGAGAGCTGCACTCTCAGCCTTCGCTTTTGTTCGAACCTGAGCGATCTCTTCATTGGCTCTGTGTACGGTGTTTTGTTGGCAGGATAAAGAGACAAGAAGGACATGGTTAGCCATAGTCACAACCAGAGTCAGGACATTAACCACGACATCTGTGGGGCACAGATGCAACAAAACTGACAGCATGGTAAGAGAAAAAACAAGAATTGATGACCTAAATATTTAAATTAATTATAAAAATTTAGTCTGCTGACAAGTGCCAAGAAGTCTGCAAGGCACAAACTGAAGGTAGAATCAAACTCGAGGGCTACAGTGACTTTAAAATTCACATTCACTGGCTCGGAGCCTATAGCTCA